ACGAAGAAAAAAACTTTGGGTGCGAGCCCTTTGTATACCAAAAAAAAAAAAAAAAAAAAAAAAAAAAAAACAGCAAAAACCAGCCAAAATTCACCAAAAATCTTATCTATATACAGGACTTTCAAAAAACCAACCAAACAAAATTATTTTTTTCGAAACGACAATTCCTGACGATATCACCAAACACACACACGCCAAAATGACAAATGGAAAAAAATATTTCTTATCACAATTTTGCTCTGCCTTTACCTTTGTTAACAAATATTGTATTACTTCTAGCCAGAAAAAGAAGAAGAATGATGACATTTTTTTTCCAACCATCTGTATCCTATATAGTTTCCTGTTTTTGTTTTTTTTTCGTTGGTTGGTTGCTTTTTGATAAATTTATCATTCACTTGCTTTGCCTTCACTTGGCCTTATAACTTGATCGATTTTCCAAAAATGTTCGGATGTTCAATACATCCGTTTATTACATTATATATGATGATTTTTTTTCATTCGACCTCTCTCCCTCTCTCTTCATCCAAGTGTGGGTGGAATGAATGTTGAACGCATTTTCGTTTCTGATTATCGTTTTTTGTTTCGACCAAAATTAGTGTAAAAATATCGATCATATTTATTTCCTGACCACCACTCGCCATCTAGTGGTTGACAATCAAAATGAAAACATTTTTTTTCATAAAATTTTTTTATTTTTTAATTTTTTTTCGATAAACCAAAATACAAATAAAAGGAAGTAAAAAGTATGGAAAAAACAACAAAATCAATTACGATTCATTTTTAATGCTTGTCGTTCATCAGCATCATTATCATCTGCATTATCAACGTTTTTCATAATGTTCGGATCTGTACCGGATTCCAGATCACCACCATCATTATCATTATCATCCGGTTTTGTTAATTCAAATTGATTTTTTTCACCATTATTAATAATTGTAGGAAATTTTTTACATTGACGACGACGTTTTTGTCGTACAATCACGATAATAATGCCTGCAACGATAATCACAATAAGTAATATCGATGTTAATATGATCAATGCAGCCAAATAAGGATATCTGGGTATTAAACACAGTATAGTTTGATCATGATAAACAGTACACCATTTATTTAGATATGGTACTAAACGAAATGGTAAATGAAATATTAATTCTGATTGATTTTTTGAACAATATTTTTCACTATGTGATATCCAACAATCACGTACTAGCCATATACCACAACATTTAATTATTTCACCAAATTTTGATTGTTCTTCAATGATGGTGAATATTTGATTGGCTTTATGGGGGGAAAAAATGAAAATGAAAATCATTTTGGATTTTTCAAAAGTTTTTTTTAAAAATGAATCGAAAACATTTTTTACATTACCTAATGCAGACATTTCTAAATTACATTGTGAAAATTGTTGTCGCCAATTTGTAACACAATCAACCATTGTATTATAAACATTTAATTCATCAACATTAAATAATTGTATTGTTTTATGTTCACTATAATCGATTGGTTTTTGACAATTGATTATGTTTGATCCGATGCTGATTAAAATGATGATGATGATGATGTAATTAAAAATCAATAACCGGTTATTATGGCGGTAATTCAGTATCATTTTAATGCAAAAAAAAATCAACAATTTCAGAAACAAAAAACAAATAAATAATGAAGCTTTCTGTTCAATCAATTAACACAAAAAAACTAAATGCATTTTTTCTGGTTTTTCTTGGTTACCAAAAGGATTTTCTCTTCCCTTTTTCTCTCTTTCTCTTTGAAAGTTTTCTTGATATATTTTTTTCTTCAATTCGGTTAATGATCGATTAGATAGAATCAATGAATAAGAAGGAAAAAATGAAATGTATAACGCACAAATGCATCACATTTGAATGTAAACGTAACACATTCAATGTCACGATCAAGATTTTGGACAACAAAATCCTCGTTCTTTTTTCATTTCATAATAATTAAACATGTGAGAAAAACAAACAAACAATTGATTACCTTGAACTTAAAATAAATCTTATCATTTATAATCATTATCATCATCATCATCATTATAAATTGTAATTTGTAGAAAATCTTATAACATTTCTATGGGAAAAAAATGAAGAAGAAGAAGGTCAATTATCATTGAAAGTAATGGATGCTGAAAATAATGAAATTATCAATTTGTAACGAAATTATTATTATAATTGAGCGGTGGTGATAGTTTTTACGATCCAACAAACCTTTCCAGGTAGATATAGTCGTTTCGAATGTTCCGTTGTTTGTTTGTTGTTCCGATGAACAAATCGATTAATCAATTGAGCAACTTTTTTTTCAATTAAATCATTTCATCATCGTTTTTCTTAACATCAAAACTGGATTTTTTTTATCATTTTCATGACCGACTTTATCATCGTGAATCCAAAAATACAAAAATGTCTTTTTTCCCTTTCTTTCTTTTTCCATTTTTTCTCTGTTATTTAATTTTGACATACCAGGTTTATCGCCATCGTTATCGTCATCTAAAGATAATTCAGTTTCTATAATCTATTTCCAGCAACAACGAAAGATTTATTTTGTTTTTCTTCTTTCCCCTTGTCGTCTATGATAAACGTTATAAATGAAAATGAAATTTTTTTCTTCATTTTTTCCCCGAAAAAAAAATGTTATTATTGATACAGGTATCAATCATGGGATAAAATGAAACAAGAACATTGAAAGATCAACAAACAACAACAACAACAACAAAGGAATTATCAGGTTTGAATCCTTTTTTAATGAAAAAAAAACAACAACAACAACATCGTCATCGTCAACGGAAAATTCCAGATTTATAATAAATAAAAAAACGAAGATGATTAATGATAATTGATTTTCGTTAGAAACAGAAGAAGAAGACGAAGAAGAGAAAGTATTAATAACATCCATCGATGTATGCCTACGTTCGATTTTTGTTCCATTTAATAATGAAAATCTTTGTTTGATCTTAGCTGGAAATGAACGAACGAAGAACTTTCCATAATCTTTGATGATGATTATGAATTCCCTTTTTTCCGAAAATTTTCTCACTTTTTTTCTTTCAATTATATTCAAATATTATTCATCAGAATTATGATGAATAATAATAATGAGATTCAAAGAGCGAGAGAAAATTGAATTTCACAAATTGGATTTATTCATTTTCGCATTCAGGTTTGTGTTTGTGTTTGTTTTTCTTGTTTTTGCACCAAGCAAAAATGATTATTTTAATTAATTAATTATGATTCTGGTGATCGAAAGCGATTTCGGTTACCTGAATTTCAAAATTTGTTCGTTTCCTATTCTTTTTTCAATTTGATTTTGAATTTGAATTTTTTCCCCTTCCGAAAAAAAAAACATTTAAACAGCATTTGTCAAATGTTTTTTTTTCAAATGAAAAATGCTTTGTTTTGTTTGAGAAACAAATTCTGTTTGTAAATTGTTTTCATAAAACGGAAACAATTTACTTTTGTTTTTTTTGGGGTACTCTCTTTGTGTTTACAATGAACAAACAAACAAAAAATTTTCAAAAATAGATTTCATCAGACAATTTAAAAAAACTGATGATGATGATAATGAATGGAAAAACAAAAAATCCATTCAATTATCAAACGATGGTCAAATAGATTTGTTGATTTTTGTTTTGTTTGAAATGAAAAATTTCCCATTGTCCAGAGAATATTCTAGAGATTGGATTTTTTTTCTTTTTTTTTGGTACTACCCAAAAAACAATAACAACAGCAAAAATCAATTCCAATATTCCATATAGATGTTTTTTTTTCAATATTTAAACATAGCTTACGGGTAAGTTACACAAAATGACCACACATACATTGTCATCATTATCAAGGTAAATCATTTAAATTGATTTTAATTATTTATTCCAGAATTTTTTTTTCAAACAAAAAAGATGAACCAAAATGAACTGGAAAACACACAGTTGAATTCAAGTATCAAGAATATCGTGATTCTATCAGTGATTCTATATGGTGAGAATTGTGCCAAAAAAAAACAATTTCACAATTCTCATTTCGTTTCATATTCTGAATAGGATTTTTCCTGATGATGATGATGATGATGATGATAATGATAACTGACATCATCATCATATACCTGCCTGTCACTTACACACACATGTCAAATTGTTAGATTAGAAATTGGATTGGATTGAATGATTGGATCGGGGTATATTTCTTTTTGTGTGTGTATGTTTCAAACAACAACAACGAGAGAAAAAAAAATTTCCGGAAATTTTCCAAAAAATTGCTTTCAGAAACAAAATCAGACAAAAACATTTTTCTTTTTCTTTTTCTTTTTTATTTATTTATTTATAAAGTAAATGATTATTACAAATGAAAAAAACCAAAAAAAACAAAACAAAAACAAAAAGATTTCCATTCTATTCATCATCATCATCATTATCGACATTGATGATTTCATCTTCAAAATGTGTTTTTTTTTGTATATTAAAAAAAACGACAGAATTCAAAAAGAAAAAGAAAAAGAAAACTAACTAACTAAAAAAAGGATTTCATTTGATGATTTTGATAGTGATGAATGCGCATGATTCATAGAGGATAATGAAAACTTCTTTTTTAACCCGAAGACTATATAATAATAACCGAAAGAATAACAGAATAATGTTACATACATACACAAAACGATACAATCCGAAACAATTAGTAAGAGAAAAAAACAAGCGCGATTGCACAAAGTTTAAGCAAACCATCATCATTATTATCAGGCAAATGGGTTATATTCTGATACCGGTCTGATGGATCATCATTGAAATTTTTCCATTTTTCGTGTTTTCAGGGATATTCCTTGATAGAACAGGTTTCAGAATATAAAAACCGTTGCAACTTGTCCATCATTCTTTCTTTCTTTCCCACACACATACACATTTCACACATTTATTGTGTTTGAAATCGACACACATCAAAACCAAAGAAACACACCATTGTGTGTTAGCGAAACACAAACCAGATCAACTTTGAAGTTTCTTTTTTTTATCCTGTTTTGAACAAAAACAAACATCAAATTTCATTATTTTAAACATCTTTCTTTTTTCTAAATTCTGGTGGTTACCTGTTTCACTTTGTTTTGTGAAATTTGTTAAATATTTTGATGATAAAAAAAAATGTTTGCAACAACAAATTCGTGGTTTGTCGCCCTGAATCATCATCATCAACAACATTTTAATAATTTTTTATTGAAAAAATTTTCATTATTCATTATGATGTTGGTCATTTTCGTATTGATTGGTCCGATATTTGGTCAACAACAATCACCAACAACGACAACAGCATCGACAACGATATCAAAACAAGAATTACCGACAATGATGAAATTATCGAAACGTTCATTACAACCATTTGGTGGATCATCATCATCATCATCATATCGTTGTTTATCGATTTGTCGTCGTAATGAAGAAAATCTTTGTAAACGTTGCCTATTTCGTGAACCAATGCGTTTTGGTAAACGTAGTTTATCATCATCATCAACATCACAATCATCATCATTATCATTTCGTGAACCAATGCGTTTTGGTAAAAAACGTTTAGCCAATCAATTTAGACAACCAATGCGTTTTGGTAAAAAATCATTATCAAATGGTAATTTTCGTGAAATGATGCGTTTTGGTCGTCAAAGTAATACGCAAAAATTTAATAAAAATGATAATTTAGATAATGATAATGATGATAAAATGATTCAAATCATTGATGATGATCAATTAAATCAGATAAAATCAATAATAATGAAAATGATGATTGATTCATCATCGAATTTGGATGATAATTACAATGATCAACAACAACAACAACAACAACAACAAACATCATCACCATCAACATTAATGAATTCGATTCAAGAAAATCAATCAATATTTGATCGTGATCAATTTGCTAATCTAGTTTTATGGAATCTACAACAACAACAACATCAACAACCATTGAAACGTTCATTGAATGATACGAACAGGAATGGACAACAACAACAGCAACCGCAACCGCAACAACAAAATGAATTAGAAATATCGATCGATAATAATAATGATTATAATCAACAACAACAACAACAACATGGTGATGATTTATCATCAATTGAAGATACAAATCAAAAGAAACAATCTTAAATGCATCGAAAGTCGTTTTTCTCTGGCAATCAATTTGAAAAAAAAAAATTTAAATGAAAATTTAATTTACAAAAGTTTTTAAAAGGTTTTCTTCACTTGCTTTTTCCTTTTTTCCTTTTCACTTCTCTCTACACCCACACACACCTGAATCCTTTAAAAAATTCATCAGTTTTAACCCCCACCACTCCCACCACCCGAAATAAACGAACCGAAACAAAAATTATTCATCAATTTCAACAAGTATAGAATTTCGGAAATGATTTTTTTTTTGGTTCAATCATCATCATCATCGGTTAATTTCATTATCATCATCATCATCATTATTATTAGCCAAGAATCATCGTTTATGAAAGCGAAAAAAAAATCATCAGAATTCTTTTACAAAAGGAAAATTTCTAGCTGAAAAAGAAAAGAAAAAAATTTCTTAAATTATTCATCATCCACAAAGATCAATCTTAACCAAAAAAAAAAAAAAAAGATACTAAAAACTTTTAATGTGAAACATACACACCGAACAAACAAAACTTTCATTTTCATTTCACTTTTATTTTATAATCATTATTCGTTTTCATTTTATTTTCTCAAATGAATTGATAATAATAAAAAAAAAAGTATTTTCAACATCAGAAAAACAAGTTGAATTTTCTTTTAACCCTTTTTTTTCTCATTAAAGATCATTTTGGATCAGTTTGTTTGGCGCGTGTTACGTGGTGTAATTAAAAAANAAATTTTCTTAAATTATTCATCATCAAAGATCAATCTTAACCAAAAAAAAAAAAAGATACTAACAACTTTTAATGTGAAACATACACACCGAACAAACAAAACTTTCATTTTCATTTCACTTTTATTTTATAATCATTATTCGTTTTCATTTTGATTTGATTTTCTCAAATGAATTGATAATAAAAAAAGAAGTATTTTCAACAACAACAGAAAAACAAGTTGAATTTTCTTTTAACCCTTTTTTTTCTCATTAAAGATCATTTTGGATCAGTTTGTTTGGCGCGTGTTACGTGGTGTAATTAAAAAATACAGATGATGATTATGGTGATCATCATCATCAAGTTCTTCTGCGTCCAAACTGCGTTTTTTTGCTTACCGTTTTTTCCGCAGATTTTCTTTTCTTTGACTGGAAAAAAAATCTGATAAACAAAATAATTAAAAAGTTAGCTAAGAGAATATTCTTTTTTTTTTGGATGGATAAACATTATTCTGTTTTTGTTTTTATTATCATCTTCATCATAAAGACAATAACGAATAACGAATAATAACGATGTTCATATGATCATAAAATGTAATCAAAACAAAACAAATCAACAATCTTTTTTCATGAAGAATATATTCAAGAAAAAAAAAGGTCATTACAAAAGATTCAGAGGAAAACTTTCCAGGAAAAAAGAATAGAAGTAGGAAAAAAAACAATAAACAATTTTTTTTCGGTAAAGTTTCTTGAAGATTTCATCTATTCATTTTAATCTATTATGACTATCATTATCATCAATATGGATGACGATGATGATGGTCATCATCATCAATAATTGATTTATCTCTTTCTTCTTTTTCTTTTCATTGACCTTGTCTTGTGAATATGATCACCATCATCATCACAGGTGTATGATTTGTCGATTAACAACAACAAAACAACAAAAAGAAATTACATTAAATGTAATTTTTTATTATTATGGGGAAAAGAAGAAAAAAATTTACAATTCTAGATTAATAACGACAACAACAATGATGATGATAATGATACCCAAAAGGTTGAAACCTGAAATCGAAAACAAAAAAAATCGAAAAATTCTTCATGAAGCCCATACACACAGAATCAGAAACAGAAAATTCATTTCCGCCGTTGATGATGATGATGATAAGTTTTCTTGTTAATTATTCTGGTTTTCTTTCTTTGATTAACCTTTGATTTTAGTTTTGTTGGTTAATCATTTTCTTCTTCTTGCTGTTTGATTGTTTGTTTGTTTACCTGTATGATGATTTTCGGAAATAATCGGAAAATTTGTTTCTCTCTCTCTCTCTTCTCGGTTGTTTGATGGACAACCAGAATCGTTAATTTTTACCAAAGAAAAAAAACCGAAATGTGTAATTGAAATGAAATGAAATGAATTCTTTTTCGGAGGTTTTTCATCTGACATTTTTTTCACAAAAGTTTCAAATTAATTGAAAAAATGAAAATGAAAATTTCATTTTCATTTTTTCACATGAAAAAAATTCATAAAAATATTTACGATTCAAAATGGCCATAATAATAAGCGAGAAGGTTTTTTTTGGGATAAACAAACAAAAACATCATAAGGTTCACTTCGATTCGGTACATTGGACATTTTCATTCAACAAAACAATATCCATTTCCATTTGTTTGTTCGCTGATGTCGTTAGTGTTGGAAAAAATTATTTCAAAAAAATTTCAAAATTTCACAATTTCACAATAATAATCATAATGATGTTCATTGTCATCCAGACGACAACAACAACAACAACAAAACTGGACAATAGATTTTGTTGTTGTTGATGTTTTTTCGGGACATTTTCCCGAAAAAAATGATGATGATGTTGATAATCTATGCAATATTGTTTGTTTTGAATACAAAAAAAAAACTTTAATCATCTTGGTCGTCATCATCATAATGTGGGAGTGAAATGAATATTTCATTTTTATGATTGAATTTGAGAATTTTGAATAGGGAAAAGAAAAGTGAAACTTTTTCGGTTTTCGGTGGGTGTGATTATTTCAATTTTTTTTAATATTCTGGAAAATTTTTCCATTCTGTCATTGAAAAGTTTATGAATAATATATTTTGTTTTTTTTTGCTTGTTTGTTTGTTGCATTTTTTTTTTATTTTACAAAAATTTTACAATTGAAAATAATCAATTAAATTGATGATAAACATTGTCCGGATATCCGTTGCTGTTATACACTCGACTCATTGGCTATTGTCATCACGATGGGATTATTAGGATCACAATAGAATCGAATGTTGTTGTTTTTTTGGCAGAATCGAATGTTATTGTCCGTATTGCCGGTAACATTCGAATGAACAAAGAAGAAAAAAAAAGTTTGTAATTTTCTTGATTACCGGATTTCGGAAATGAAAATGATCTATTTTAATAATCAATGGATAGCCATCATTATTATTGTCCATGAAAATGTAAGTATGTGAAATGTAATTTTTCAAAAACAAAAAAAAACACTGGTTGATTGTCAGATACATCTTTCATTGTGTGTGCGTATTGTTGTTGAAGAAATTTCTAAATTTCTCTTCTTCTTCTTACATAAATTATCCAAAAGAAAAACTTAAATCCCCAAAATGATTATCATTATCATCATCATATGAATCAAAAAAAGAAAAAAAGAAAAAGAAAAATAATCAAAATGTGATTACAATGATGGATACAAGATGGCCTTGAGTTTTTTTCTTCTTCTTCTTTCATCATTTATCATTATTTATTTTGTTTTTCGTCTGTTTTAATGAAAATCAAAAAATTTCTTTTCACGTCATCATAATAATCATCATTATTATCATTAAAATATCAGCCCACAACACAATCCACGGATGGATTTTTCTTTTTTCTTTTTTCTCTCTCTCGATGTCATTTCATAGTACAACATTATTTTAATGATAATCCTTGTTTGTTGTGGTGTTTGTTTTCATCATCATCATCATCATCATCAAAATACGACAATTTTTGTCACCCAAAAGAACTAATAATTATGTTTGAATGACAAACAAGAAACGAAAATCAATAAAATAGCAAAATCATTCATTCAAAATTGGTTGGTCATTGATGACAGCAATCGAATCAAATCCAAACCAGCAACGAAAACGTTACATCGAAGATTTTGGTGTGAAAAAAACGATCGAATGATATTCGTAAATCATAAGATTCCTTGAAACATTGATTGAAAATTTAAAAATATTGTTTATTTTATGTAATCTTTGTGTGAGAAGATTTTAAATCTTTCAATATCTTTTCTCTATACTTGTGTATTTTTCATATATTGAAAATTTTCAATTCATCATTTTTTCAATTCACTTATATATCGGGTAATGTTGATTTTATTTTTTTCATCGAAAAAAACAAATTAAATTAGATTTAGAATTGATTTTTTTAATTATTTTTGTTTTTTAAAACCAAAAAAAGAAAAATTTTCCATTATGATGAATAATAATTATACAATAATTTCAAAATATTTTCGAAATTTTAATCAAATTTTTCCATTTTTTTCACGAAATTTTAGTGTCAAGATAAATAATACCATAAAAAATCCTACTAATAATCAAACAATGTCGATTCATTGTGATTTCAGCGATAAAGTTGTATTGATTACCGGTTCAAGTTCGGGTATTGGTGAAGGTATTGCCGTACATTTATGTTCACTTGGTGCAAATATAACAATTACTGGCCGTAATGCTGAACGTTTAAAACGTGTTGGTGAACGTTGTCGACAATCGACAAAAAATCCAAATGCCAAAATATTGGAAATAATTGGAGATATTAATCAGGAAAAAGATGCTGAACATTTATTGAATAAAACAATTGAAACATTTGGTAAATTAGATGTATTGGTTAATAATGCTGGTGCATATCAAGTTTCATCAATTTGGGATGATAATTATATGCAAAATTATGATATGATGTTTCATACAAATGTACGAAGTGTTGTTTATCTAACCAAATTGGCAATACCATTTTTAGCTAAAACACAAGGTAATATTGTTAATGTATCAAGTGTTGCTGCACAAAAACCTGTATGTATTTTTTTTAATATTCAATGGATGGCGTTGTTTTTCTTTATTTAAAAAAATATTTTCAAAAAATCTTAGGCGGCAAATAATACATTGTATGCAATGTCTAAATCAGCAATCGATATGTTTACCAAATCGATGGCATTAGAATTGGGACCAAAACGTATCCGATGTAATGCTATTAAGTAAGTGTGCAGAAATGATTTTTGTGTTTTTTAAATTAATTTTTGTCTTTTTTTTTTGTTTTTGTTTTTTTAAATCATAAAAGTCCGGCTGCTATTCGTACACCAATATTCAATAAAGTACAGAATAGTGATCTAAGTACTGATCGTATGGCTGATATTGCTGCACGTTCATATCCAGTTGGTCGTATTGGTGAACCATTAGATTGTGCTAATGCTGTTGCATATTTAGCAAGTGATGCGGCTAGTTTTATTAATGGTGTTTGTTTATTAGTCGATGGTGGTTCAGTTAATTCGGCATTAATCATGCCAGATGATTCAAAAAAATAAACTTGTGGAAACAAAAAATTTCTATGGACAAGACAATGATAATGACCAAAAAAAATAGAATAAAATTTTTTCAAAAAAAAAACTACAATAAAAATGAAGCTAATTTTTTTACCCCGTCTGATTTTCTTTCTTTTTTTTTCACTCTACTTCACATTTGAGATCAAAAGTAATCGATGAACCATAAAAACCACACGACCACCACAATCAAACAACAATAACCACTTTAGATTTTGTTTTCCGATGATGATTATGATTATCATCGAAAATAAGTGATGTGTGTACACATGTTTTCTGAAGTGTGAATATAAACAATGAATGAATGATTATGATAGGGGAGGTGGTAGTTGAAACACGTTGATAAACGTGTTTCAACAAAATGGGCAAGGCGTTGATGTGTGAACAACAAAACGAAACAGCCTTATGGTGGTGATGGAGAGGGGAAAAATTCATTCAACCTTTATTATCCGGGACAACAACTATGATGATAATAATAACCGAACAAAATAGAGGACCTACTTCAAACTGAAAAAGTGGAGATGGGGGGTCGATTTTTGCAAAATTAGATGACAATCAATCCAGTTGTGTGTGTGTGTGAAGATCCACGACCTACCTTCCAACCAACCTACGTAACTACTGTACTACGCTTTATCATTTTCGTTTAACGTAAACGTTTTCGGCCACTTTTTTTCTGCTGTTGTTGTTGTTGTTGCCTATCATCACCAATGGGGTGTGAAAAAAGAAAAAGGAAAAACTCTCTCACAAATGATTAACCTTTTTATCTAATTTTATATTTCAACTCCTCCTCTGTTATCAATCGTATCAGATTTCCTATTTTTTTCTCCCCCTCTTCCTATTGTTATTATGAAATTAGTTTGAGAGGGGTAGGTGTTAAAGTCAAGTCAAATCAGAATCGAAATCAAAATCAAATACATTTGAATTGGCAATGATGATAAGGATAATTGATAAAAGTTGGTTGAATTTATACATTGAAAGTTTCTCATTTTTTTTCTCAAAAAAAATCGTTGTTTTATAATCGGTTATTATTATTTATTTATTGTTGTTGCTGCTGGAACAAAATGCCTATGTTAACCCCCACTTCCTCCCCTTGCATTCATACAACACACACACCCTATTTAAATTAAGTGAGGAGGTGTAAATTGGTGTTATTGTTGTTGTTGTTGTTGTATGAATAGCGTATTGTTGTACGTGTAATAAGGGACCACTTGAAAATTACTGAATATTTTTTTTTTTTTTTTGCAGGAAAACATTTGACATTTGACCAATGAAGAAGAAACACACACACACTGAACACTTTACCTATGCTTTTATTCGTGGTCAAGATAATTAGATTGAAACAGAATGTCGAATGAAAAATTTGTCAATCAATAATTTCAGCTACTTTTTTTCCAATTTTTTTTTTAATTTTTAAAAAATATGAATCCAAATAAATCAATATTTCGTCCATGGGATCATCATCATCATCATTCAAATCAAAATGATGAACGTATTCAAAAATCATCGAATGAATCATCATCGATACAATCGATATCTATACAATCGAATAATTATTTGGATGAAAAAATCCATTCTTTACCGAAACATATTGGCAAAGAAGAAAAAAGAATGAAAAAACATCATCGGCAGCAACAGAATTCTCAACCGACAAAATTTCCATCAACAACAACAACACAACCATCATCATCATCATCATCATTAACCATCAATGATCAATATTATCGATCAATGACACAAGAATTTTTCAACAATTTTCTCAATCATCAACAATCCGCACAACAATTTCAATATGGTCCTTCATTTGGTTGTTCGGAATATTTTTTTGAACAATATTTTCATCATTATTATCATCATCATCATCCACAACAACAAAATTCAATGATAAATTCCGGTCAAATTGATTCATCAAGGAATTTTCAGAATTTTTTTGAAAATTATTTTAATCCAGTAAATTTTCCCATGATACAAAATTATGATTTTTTACCGAAAACAGCAACATCATCGGCCTCAACAATGTTTCCGGCAAATAATTTCGATTTAGATTTGATAAAAAATTCAATGACCAAATTAAATTGTCAACAACAACAACAACAACAGCCGGAAACAACAATAACATCAACAACAACATCGACAGCAACATCGACAACAGCAAATAATGTAATGAAAAAACAACGTCCAAAACGTTTTCAATGTCCACATTGTCAAGTGTCCTTTTCAAATAATGGTCAATTAAAAGGTCATATTCGTATTCATACGGGTAAGTAATTTTTTCAAATTACAAAAACAAAATTCTTGGAAGATTCTTCAATTATTTTGATCTCTTTCTCTTTTGGTGTTTTTTTGTTGTTATTAGGTGAAAGACCATTCATTTGTGATCATCAAAATTGTGGTAAAACATTTACTAGAAATGAAGAATTAACACGTCATAAACGTATACATACTGGATTACGTCCATTTTCTTGTAATCATTGTAATAAACGTTTTGGTCGTAAAGATCATCTGAAAAAACATGTTAAAACACATCAACGTCCACCACAATTACCAACATCATTTTTAACAAGACCATCACTAACATCATCATCATCATCATCATTATCAATGACATTGGCAAATTTTCCAACAAATATTGTTTCAACATTATCGATGCCATATTCATGGAAATGACTGATGACCAATTTGTTTTACCTTGTTATCGCTATATCTGTATATATTATTTTTGTTGTTATCATAAATGATTTTGTTATTAACAAATTTTTTTTCTAATTAAAAAAACTTTTTTAAAAATTATACGTTTTTTTCAAAAACTTTTCATCATCATCATCTCTCTGTTCTATAAATAAAAAATATTTTATAGGATCAAAACACACCCGACAAATGCAGAAAAACATCATCATCATAATATTTTGCATTACAAATTGATTTCAATAAAACCTATAATGTTGATGGTAATCCGATCTATTTTGATCCGATTAGATCAAAATAGCGTCAATAGTGTGACAAAAAAGAACTGATTTATGTTTCTGTCTCTCCGTGATCTTTTGTACTAGAAAAAAATGAAATGATGTTAGTTTTGTTGTTGAATAAGATGGATTTATAATCACTTAACTTTTTTGTAAACAACTATCGATTGTTCACCGAGATCATGATTATCATAAATCCGATTTTGTTTCGGTTGTTCATTCATTCACCGAAAAGGAAAAAAACTCGAAAATACCGGCTTTGAAGTTTTTTTTTTTGATTCACAAAAAAGCAAACAAGAAAATTATCACCGGTATTCCGCCATTCAAAACTTGTTAGATTCATTTATCGTATTTAGTCTCTGTTTGGTTTGATTACCGTGAATAAATTGATTATCAAATTATTGATCTGATTGATTTGATCGATGGATGGAACACGTTTTTGAATCATTGAATAAAATTTCATGAAATTTTAAGAATGAAATAAATCAAATTAGAAAAAAATTGTTGAAATTTCGAAATAAAATTTGTCACACATAGTGATGTTGACAAGTTTATTAGATTTGATGACAGTTTTTTTTTTCGTTAAAGATTTTCTTCTTCTCAGTAATCAAATCAATTATTCTGATAGCGAAACATACTTATCATTATTATCGACTAACTAGAAATAAAAAGAAAAAAAGTTAATAAAAAAAATTTGTTATCAATTTTACTAAATACAGGTATATTTGTTACGCAAATTCGTAACGGTTATCATGTCGAAAATCGTGATCAATCGAAGTAATCATCGTCGGCAGTCGGTAGTCGGTAGTCAATAGTCATCGCGGGTTAAAGTAGCCAGTAGATATACACGAGGACGCACCCAATTCATTCGATTCGATTTGGGCTACTGAATTTGGCACACACAAAATTTTTTTCTTCTTTGATTGTCTGATTTTCAAATTAGTTTTGGTTATCATTTGAATATTATCAGTTTTTTCCCCACTTATTATTTGGGCAACCAAAAAACGAAATGAAAAAAAAAGATTCGATTTTAATTTGATTTGATAATTATCTTCTTTCTGTAACCTGAAAATTTTATCTGTCATAATTTTCAAATGATTAATCGATTATTAATTATTCTGTTAACATTCGATTATATTAATTTGGAAAAAAATGATCGATTGATTTCAGATATTGATTCACTTTTCTAAAAAAAAGAATAACCGCTTTAAATTAAGAAATCAAAATATTTTGATTTGAAATTCTTAAAAATCACAGATTAAAAACAAACAAACAAACAAACCGAAAACAACCAAATTCTGCTCAAATATTCTCGAATGATCGGATGATGTTCGAACACTAAAACAACATCGAATGATCCGAACATGTGGAAATAGAATCGAACGAATCGAATTCGAACGTTTTTTTGTAATTTGATTCATCCTTTGATTTAATCATCGTTATTAAATCCATGAAATTTTTGTAATCAAATAATGATTATGATTATTATCGTTTCAAGTGTTTATTTTCAATCTGATAAAATCTGTTTCAATCAGTTTCTGTGTGTGTGTGTGTTTTTTACCGCCATACAAAATTGATGATTATTTTCAACAACAACAACAACACCTAAAGTAGTTGATAACATCAAACAATAAACAAAATGACTTATGTATTTAAGTGGTGGTGATGATAATGGTGGTGAAGTGAGTGAAAAAAATTTTTTTTTGAAAACTTTTCGATGTCTCAATTGTGTGTTTCAACTGAATAGAAAAAGAGGGCCGATTTTCTTTTTTTGTTATCGAAATAACGAATCTCGATATTTCTTTCTCTTTATCCACTCAATTTTTATGAATTGAAATGAAAATGATCCAAATTTGAATGTGTGAAAACCTTGAATAAATGAATGGTGATGAATGAATGAATGAATGAGAGCAAAGAGGGTCAAATTCAATTGAAACATTCATATAAATGGATCTCTATGGAAAAAAATTTTTTGTTTTGTTTTGTTTTGTTTAAGAAATCAAGAAAAAAAATTGAAAATGAAAAGCGATATTCACCGACATTCACAGATCGGTAACAAACAACAATTGTTGACAACCTCAAACAATTTTTTTTTTCAACCTTTATTTCATTCATTCATATTCATTACAATTATATCGTTGATTGTCGTCATCCGTATTTCTCTATATGTAAAAATCCTATCCAAAAAAAAAAGTCCTAAACATTGTTTTTTGGTTGAATGAGCTGGCTATATATATATTGAGCAAAACTGGCTGGGCAATGTGTTTTTTTTATTTTGGAACCTGAATTTTTTTTTTTTGTCTCTGATTCGAAGTATTTGGTCCTTTTTTTTGCCTGTATGTTTTGAGCCTCTCGAGTGAGCCTTCAACTCATTTGTAACATTGTCCTTGTTGTTGTTGTTGTTGTTGTTGTTGTCGGGTATGAAAAGAGGACGCCCCGCAAGCTATGGTCCAAGTTTATGAAACCAAAAATCGATATGATGATGATGGGCCCCAATTTTTTTTTTTTTTTTTTGAACGATATCAACAACAATAACCACCACTTGATTTCTTTTTTTTTCTTTCTCTTTTCAAAATGATAAATTTTTTCAACACCTTAAAATTTTTGTCATCAAGGGGCCGCAATATTCTCATTGAATTTCTACTTTTTTTTTATTGTTGAAATTTTCTTAATGATAATGATCGATTGGTTGATTGTCACCAATGAAAAAAAAAGAATTTTATTTCGAATGCATACAATCGATTGTATCGTTTTGATTTTACTAGTAATACGTCCTTCACTTTGATCTGATATAATAAATGAAACATATCGGATTACAATCAATATATATGATTATAATTATTCAATTGATCAGATCCAAGATTAGATTAGATTATTTTTTAATAATAATGAAACTGGAGAAGAAGAAGAAAAAAAAACATGCATGATTACATCCTTAAACATTTTAATATAAAAAACGATTGTTCGATATATAATCGATACTTTTTTCTTTTTGTTGTTGCCGATATTATCATTCGAATGTCGAATGTCGAATGAAAAAAAAGAAACGGTAGCCCGAAATAAAATGTGTCAAAAAAAATCCTGAAACTAATACTACTCGAAAAATTATTTCTTTTTCTTTTTGTTCGCAACAATTATTATTATGAAACATAAAGCCAAAAACGACGAACAAAAAGAAGAAAAAAATGTGTTAATGAACAATGGGCAAATGAATGAATGAATGAATGAGAGAGAGATGTAGAGCAGTATAGGAATAAATTGAATTCAATTGAATTTATGGTTATTTGAATAGAATGAAATTTTTTGTTGCGACAAAAAAAAAGAAAGAAAGAAAGCCAATAAATGGTAAGTGTTGATGATCATTATCAATAGAGCACAAGATAAATGAGAATATAGTATGGTATCCGTCCCCTCTTAATTTAATCCACTTGAAGAGTCAAAAACGAGACATATTGAGTGTTGATTGCTCTCTCTCTCTCTCTCTCTCTCTCCCACTTTGATGAGTGTTCCATATCTCTTTTATATGTATGTTTCCCTCTCCAAAAAGAAAAAAAACCAATAAACGGAACACAACGGATCTATAGAAAAAAAAAATTTGGTGAAAAATTTCCATTCTTCTTTTCGGTTGTTGTTGTTGTTGTTGAATCGATATTATTCACTTTACAGTTTCTCATTCATTTATTTATTCATATCACAGACACACTCTCCGATATTTATCCATTGTGAATGAACAAAAACATAACAAACACAACAAAACAAAATTGAACAAAAGTGAAGCGAAAAAAAGATTTAAAGCCAGGTTTTATGAAAGTGTGAAGTATTATTATTATTATTATTATGGATCTCAATTTCTCATTGTCATTGTCATCATCATCATTTAACACANTAAAAAGTGAGGCCCAAAAAATTCAACCAGTTTATAAAAAGGCCCAAAAAATGCGATCAGGGAAAAGGTAGGCCCAAAAAATGCGATCAGAGAATAGCGAGGCCCAAAAAATGCGATCAGAGAATAGCGAGGCCCAAAAAATGCGATCAGTAAAAAGCGAGGCTCAAACTTGGAACAGAATTATTAAACTAATGAAAAAATCAAGTTAACCTCATAAGATTCTTCTATAGATTTGTTTGAAAACATGAAAATGGCGCCAATTTAACTTGGAAACTGGAAAACCAAACAAAATTCAATCAGAATTATGAAACTTGCGAAAAGATCAAGTAAACCTCATAAGATTCTTTCCTTCGTTTGTTTGAAAACGTGAAAATGGCGCCAATTTAACTTGGAAACTGGAAAACCTAACAAAATTCAATCAGAATTATGAAACTAAGGAAAAAATCAAGTTAACCTTACAAGATTCTTCTATTGGTTTGTTTAAAAACGTAAAAAAAGCGCCAAATTGTTTCTCAAATACGCAAACCTCACAAAATTCAAACAGAATCATAAAACTTGTGAAAATATCAAGTTAACTTCATAAGATTCTTCCATTGGTTTGTTTGAAAACGTAAAAAAGGCGCCAAATTCATTGTAAAACTGCAAAAGCTAACAAAATCCAATCAGAATTATGAAACTAAGGAAAAAATCAAGTGAACCTCATAATATTCTTCCATTGGATTGTTTGAAAACGTAAAAAAGGCGCCAAATTCATTATGAAATCGCAAAACCTAACAAAATTCAATCAGAATCATGAAACTTGTGAAAAGATCAAGTTAACCTCATAAGATTCTTCCATTGATTTG